AGCTATTTTCTATTTCATCGGAAATCTGCCTTCCTTCTATCATTAGGAAAGAAAAGCAGCAGAACATGAAAATTTGGACATGCGATTCTCGTGTTATTCGCCATCCGCTGTCTTCTTTCTTTCCTACGCATATCAGACAAGACAGCATCTAGCGATTATGCGAGAATCGCATCGCGCAACAGTTCAAGAATTTAATCTCCCGGGGAATGCTATATTCGATATCTTCATTTTGAACAAATCGAATTTTCGTTCATTTTTTCTTAGAAAATTATTTTTGGGAAACATTAAGATAAAGGTACATTTCTGATTCAGCGTGGGGAAAGACTGCACGTCATGTATTACTGTGCGTAAAACTAAGAAAACGGCTCCCCGTTTTGAATGATTTGAAAACAGAATGGAATATATATATATATATATATATATATATATATATATATATATATATATATATTATATATGTGTGTTGTGGCTGTGTGTGTGTGGGTATATATATATATATATATATATATATATAATGATATATATATTATATATATATATATATATATATATATATATATGCATATATATTATATATATATATATATATTATATATATATGCAAACATTTGTATCAAAAAGGCTGAATATTTAGAGATACAATTAACAATTTGAAATAACATGTTCAAAAGGAATAATTATACAGGAAAGTTTAAATACAGATTTGTTTTACATATTTCTATAACCTTAAAAAATAATTTAATTCATAATCTTGGTTTAGAAATAACTGAGAGTTAAGGCTATATTATTGAGCGAAACACATTTTAAGAAATTCCGAAAAGTTGTAGTAATTCGTAGATAAAAACGAATAATAGAAATGTATTTTAAAACCACTACATATAGGATAATTGTATAAAATATTAGCAAATATTCTTTTCGTTTATTTGATATTTATATTTTTGAATTACATAAATAGATGGGGAGTAAGTTAATTTATAAATTAACACTCTCACTCACATACCAACACTTTATTTAGCAATTAAAATATTTAATTACCCCCCCCCCCCCCGTCGGTCGTAGCAGTCACGGTTTTCTGGGAATTGGCAAGTGGCAACCCTATGTAAAGGGACACAGTTTTCGAAATTTTAAACACGGGTTAAACTGATGATGGTTTTCACAAAAATGAGGAAAATTACAGCAGGGACAGAAATAAAACGATATACGACTCCTACGTAGAAGGTAGTCAACGAATTCAATATCTAGAATCACTCTACAACCTTCGGGAAGTTCTTCACCGGAAACGTTTAGAAGAGGGAGAGCAGCTCAACAATAACATTAATAATATAAGATTTTTAAGACAATTAAGCCTAACACATTAAGGGACAATTTTTCACGGAAAGAACCTGCTAGGACTAGAAAAAGTAAAAGCCATATTCTTTAAAAATAATATTAGGAGTTTCCAAAACTACTGAATTAAATCAAGTTAGTTTACGAAGCTGACAGAGAAAAACCCTGCTTGATAAAGGATTTAAGCTTTACTCCTTCCTCACACAATAGCATCACGAGTGTTGTCAAATAAGAAGTAGTGCTTACAAAATGCGCACAGACTTTTCCGTATTTCTTTTCTATTTCCTGTTCCTTTCAAAAAAAATCCCAGATTTTTAATCGTGCGATTATTTAACTATTTCTTTGCGCATTCATTTCTCTTAAATTTGCATGAATGTTAACATTAAAATTAATTGTATTACATAGCAAGACACCGATTCCGAAATGTTCTATCTGAATTCTTGAAAAATTGCCGTTTTAAAAACAAAAAAGCAAAATAAATTATCTGTGTATTTTTGATAATAATGCTAATGGTTTGCAAATGTTTTCTGCAGTGTTTGTGATATTTAATGGCCATGCAAATGACTATCACTGAGTTGCGCAGAGCTAAATTTTGAGGCATCTAAACATCGGACCACATGGACTTTTAATTGCTCTACACTGGATGTCACTATGAAAAGTTATGAAGGCGCACATAGAAAATTGTTGAAAATTATTAGATCAGATAATAAAAAAGTTATTGTATTTTAGCAATTCCTTCGGAAATCGTCAAAACTTTTGTAGATGGGTGATGAGCTTCGCACGTTTGTAAAAAACAATGTCAATATATGCAGAAAGTTAATAATAATATTTAATTTGAGTCAACATATACCATTTACAATCATGTATGAACGAGTCGAAGGTGATATATTCAGAAGGTATACAATCGCGAACATCTTGGGAGCAGCGAGTGGAAGCTAACATTTATTTATTGTTTATTGTCCAGAATGCAAAAAAAGGCGGCCCATCTCAGCATTTGCTCAAAGGACCGAGGAACTCGACAAAAAAACGTGGATCAAGATGTATTGGGCCCTAGAGAATTGTACTGGCAATACTTGTTATAGATATTATAAGAATAGTATAGAATATTGTAGTATAAATAGTTGAACATTTAACTTACTTTAATGGTTAAAATATTTTTAACATTCATGATTTGTTACCGTTTCATTTTTCAAAATAGATTTCTTGGTATAGTGATTTGTACTGCTACTACGAAGAATATTAACAAAATAATAATAATAATAATAATAATAATAATATAATAATAATAATAATAATAATAATAATAATAATTAATAATAATAAGTATAATAGAATATGACTTATAAAATATATAATAGAAATACTACAGTACTTGATAACAAATTATTGGTAAACAGCTACATATGTATTCAATAATATTAACATATCCTTGATTAAATCTTGAAATGGTGAGAGAGGCCGGTTTATGGCCAGATTTGTCCTATTCTTATACACCTAGTCCTTACTGTACTAAGTATCCTCTGTTGTTACCCGCAGCTTAAAATTAGAGCCAAGTGCCAGATTGGATCCGGGGTATACCTTCAAAGACATGGACTGAAGCACTCATACCACACGCATGTAGTAGGATGTGCACAAGAGTACACACCTATCTATAGTCAATTTATTTAGTTGTGCCACTTGACGAAAATCATTGCGGTTTTATCCCATCGCGGAACTATTGTCGGGATAATGTCGAAACAATGACGTGAACTAGAACGTTCAAGATCCGATTGGATAAATCTGTGAACACATGATTACGTCAATGGCATTGTAATAAATCTTTATATATGTACACTGTGGATCTATTGAAGTGAAACACGCCCGATTGAAGTCTCTTAAGGTTGCAATACAAAGAAACAATGCAGGGCTGTGGTTTATATGTTTATGATTATAACTCTAGGAATAGGGGTAGTATTACAATCTTAGATGGATGGGAAACCATCGTTAAATCTCCCAAAGAAAAGGTAAAAATAATAGTAAAACAACCTAGAGGACTGCAGGAACGTAACCGTACACTTGTTAGGTACGGTGTAATGCTGATAAAATTTCGTTCTTCCTGTTCTGTACTTCCCGTGATATTGCTATTGACGCTGAATTTCGCATTGTTGACAGGAATTGCGTTCGCGTTCCCTGCTCTAGGCTCGCATTGTGAATGGCGTGACGCTCCCAAGTGAAAGGACGTCCAGTGGCCCTCCTGCCAGTTGGGCTTCCGTGGATGGAGTCTGTGCCCTTAGTCGACTTAACAAGCTTCAGGGATCTGATTCTTTGTCCATTCCTTCCGAATTGAAGGTTGTTTGAAACGTTCATCCCCCCCCCCCACCCCCCAATTTTAATTTTTTTAAAAACATTTTCCCCAAATTTATTCTAAATAATGACATAATATCCAAGCGTATTCTCAGTATCAATGCACTTGTATTTTCTTTCCCTTGCCTAATAAACGTTTAAAGAATTGGGGAGATTCAAACTGACCCCCCTTCCCCCCTGTGCCACAACTTTCTGGTTGTACCCCTGCCTCACAATTCAGTAAATTCTTTATCAAGGTGTTATATTAAATATTCTATTGCCCAAAGTAACTGAAGGAGGAAATAAATTTATGTGTAGTGGGACCCCAAGAAGGTATTGGAAGATGGAAGATAAAATTTTATATCACTTGAATATGACATTCCTTGCAAGTTGAGATTCTACGCAAAAACTAACATTATGTTTTAATGCTACTCATTGTTTTTTGTTTCGAAAGTTTATGAGAGTTTATGTTTTGAGATTTTTTTTGAAAAACAAGCAATTGTGGAAGTACCTCTCTTGGCGAAGAATCTGTGCTTAAACTGCGCCTTGGCAAATCAGTGTGTTGGCTAAGCTGGCAAACATTTCATATTGTTCCTTTTATGCATGTAACAGACACTAAGACACTAAGCTTGAGGATAAAGACTAAATAATCTTTAGATTTCAATCCTTTATGTCGGTTTACAGAAGGTGTTTCCAAAATTACTTCTGACTTCTACCAAACTTTCTTTTCCTAAACAGCTCAGGTCTTGAACAACTCAAAACGTTGTTAATGAAAATAAACATTTTAGTAATAAATCTAGCTTGAATTTAAGTAGTCAATTGGATGTTTCTAAATTTGTCTTACCGTACGTTTCCTTTAAATTTAAATTAATGTATGAATTTACTTTTCAGGCTTTGCTGCGAGGATCATCTGTTTTGAAGTAGTGTGGCTCCTTTAGATTGATGCAAATACTTGCTTAACGATTATTGGCATTATGGTGCGTGGCTGCTTGGGACTGCGTCATGTGATGCAAAGAATTGGTGGAATGCCACATGGTGTCTTGAGTGCGATTGCGAAAGTGTGTTAGAAGCAAAGTATTGGCACAAGGTCCTGGGTCCAATTCGGTTGTAGCAATTGGAGGTGGATGACCTCTCTGAAAGGCGATATCATATGCAGCTAATTGATGCTTGGTTTGCAGTGAAGATTCTCAAAGTCTTTGCCTTTGGCCGACTAAAATTATCAGACTGTTGTATTTTGACTGTTAAAATCGTATTGGAATCCATTTTCTGCATTCCCCCCTTTGCTTGGGGATATGTTGATGTTAAATATAAGAAAAAGGGCAATGACTCTTGGCAGAAGATGTAAATGAAATTCAAATGAACGTTCAATATCAACAATGGCAGTAGTGAAACAAAACCCAGCAAAGCACAAAGCCCTTTCCAAGGGGCATTTTGCACTCGCCAAACCCCTTTATATATAACTGTTTCATGCAGGCTCCCAGATGTGTGCTGTTCATTACATGTTGATAAGAAGAAGCAGTTTATGGTATGATGTTAAATATTTATTTATGAGATTTTAAAAGGCCCTTAATGTAGTAATAAAACATTACAATGTAAAAAATGATCTAAAACTTTACTTGAGGTTTATTTAATCTGAATATTCCACTCTTGAACTGTTAAAACCAGTAGAGTTTTGACTGTACATACAAAAATGCCCAATTTGCGGTGGAGAGTATCCCAATGTTATTTGCTTATTCTCTGTGATTTTTCTTATTGCTTCTCCGTATGGCCAATCATGAACTGTGGACTCATTCTATCATAGGAGGCCATATGCTTTCAATCGCTTTCGTTGGTTGTTCAAATTAATCCGTGTAGTACTATAACATAACATCTTTGATTGTAAACCTTTCTTCGCTTTGCAAGTTCAGGAATTTATCAACAATTTTCCAAAGCATTCATTGCCACCGTAAGCAACCTAAGATAATTTAAATTGAACATTTTTTTAATTGATCAAATGGCTTTCCATTAGAAGTCATATGTTAAAATTGAAACTATTGCGGTTTTCTATGATTTTATATTTAAAAAACTTACTTTTAACAAGTTGAAAGAAAATTTACCCCAAAAAAACTGGGTTCTTTAGCTGAAAGATTAGAGTCCTTAATTATTTTTAAATAGAAAATTTTAATTATTTTTTTTTTTGGTTTAAAAAATTTTCATTGCCCTTTTAACCCATTTTAATGGTTGGTTTTTTTAAAAAAAAAAAAAAAAAAAAAAAAAATTTTTTTTTTCAACCCATTTTTTTTCCCCCCAAATTTTTTTTTTTTTATTTATTTTTTTTTTTTTTTTAAAACCCCAAAAAAAAAAAAATAAAGGCTGGGGGGGATATGCACTTTAAAAAACTTATCGTGCTTTTTCTATGTAAATCTCCCGCCCCCCCCCCCCCGGTCGTAGCAGTCACCGGTTTTCTGGAATTGGCAAGGTGGCAACCCTATGTAAGGGACACAGTTTCGAAATTAACACGGGTAAAACTGATGATGGTTTTCACAAAATGAGGAAAAATTACAGCAGGGACAGAAATAAAAATATACGACTCCTACGTAGAAGTAGTCAACGAATTCAAATATCTAGGAATCACTCTACAACCTTCGGGAAGTCTTCACGAAACGTAGAAGAGAGAGCAGCTCAAGCAATAACAGTAATATATAAAGATTTTTAAGACAATTAAGCCTTAACACATTAATGACAATTTTCTCACGGAAAAGAACCTGCTAGGACTAGAAAAAGTAAAAGCCATATTCTTAAAAATAATATTAGGAGTTTCCAAAACTACTGAATTAAATCAAGGTTAGTTTACGAGCTGACAAGAGAAACCCTGCTGATAAGAGGATTTAAGGCTTTTACTCCTTCCTCACACAATAGCATCACGACGTGTTGTCAAATAAGAAGTAGTGCTACAAATGGCACAGACTTTTCCGTATTTCTTTTCTATTTCCTGTCCTTTCAAAAAAAAATCCAGATTTTTAATCGTTCGATTATTTAACTATTTTCTTGCGCATTCATTCTCTAAATTGCATGATTTAACATTAAAATTAATTGTATCTACATAGCAAGACACGATTCCGAAATGTTTCTATCTGAATTCTTGAAAAATTGCTTTTAAAAACAAAAAAGGAAAATAAATTATCTGTTGTATTTTGATAACTAATGCTAATGGTTTGCAAATGTTTTTGCAGTGTTGTGATATTTATGGCCATGGCAAATGACTATCACTGATTTGCGCAGAGCTAAATTTTGAGCATCTAAACATCGGACCACATGGGACTTCTTAATTGCTCTACACTGGATGTCACTAGAAAGTTATGAAGGCGCACATAGAAAATTGTGAAATTATAGATCAGATAATAAAAAGTTATTGTATTTTAGCAATCCTTCGTGAAACTCAAAACTTTTGTAGATGGGTGATGAGCTTCGGCACGGTGTAAACAATGTCAATATATGCAGAAAGTAATAATAATATTTATTGAGTCACATATACCATTACAATCATGTATGACGAGTCGAAGGTGATATATTCAGAGGTAGTACAATCGCGAACATCTTGGGAGCAGCGAGTGAAGCTACATTTATTTTTATTTTTATTGTCCAGAAGCAAAAAAAGGGGCCATCTCAGCATTTGCTCAAAGGACCAGGGAAACTCGACAAAAAACGTGATCAAGATGTTATTGGCCTAGAGATTGTACTGCAATACTTGTTACAGATATATTAAGATAGTATATAATTATTGTTAGTAGTAAATAGTTGAACATTTAACTTACTTTAATTTAAAATATTTTAACATTTCATGATTTGTACCGTTTCATTTTTCAAAATAATTTCTTGGTATAGTGATTTTACTGCTACTACTAATAATATTAACAATAATAATAATAATAATAATAATAATAATAATAATAATAATAATAATAATAATAATAATAAGTATAATAGATAATATTACTTATAAAATAATAATAATAGAAATACTAACAGTACTTGATAACAATTATGGTAACAGCTACATATGATTCAATAGTATTAACATATTCCTTGATTAAATCTTGAAATGGTGAGGAGGCCGGTTATGGCCAGATTTTTCCTATTTATACACCTAGTCCTACTGTACTAAGTATCCTCTGTTGTACCGCAGCTAAATTAGAGCTAAGTGCCAGATGATTCCGGGTATACCTGTCAAGACATGGACTGAGCAGCTCATACACACGCAATGTAGTGGATGTGCACAGAGTACACACTATCTATAGTGCAATTTATTTAGTTGTGCACTTGACGAAAATCATTGCGGTTTTATCCCATCGGGAACTATGTCGGGATATATGTCGAAACAATGACGTGAACGAGAACGTTCAAGATCCCGATTGGATAAATCTGTGAACACATGATTTACGTCAATTGCATGTGTAATAAATCTTAGTATATGTACACGTGGATCTATGAAGTGAAACACGCCCGATGAAGTCTCTAAGTTGCAATACAAAGAAACAATGCAAGGGCTGTGGTTTTATTTTATTATTATAACTCTAGGAATAGGGGTAGTATACATCTTAAGATGGATGGGAAAACCATCGTTAAATCTCAAAAGAGTAATAATAGTAAACAACCTAGAGGACTGCAGGAACGTAACTCGTACACTTGTTAGGTACGGTGTAATGCTGATAAAATTTCTTTTCTTCCTGTTCTGTACTTCCCGTGATATGCTATTGACGCTGATTCGCATTGTTGACAGGAAATGCGTCGCGTTCCCTGCTCTAGGCTTCGATTGTGAATGGGTGACGCTCCCAAGTGGAAGACGTCCAGTGGCCCTCCTGCAGTTGGCTTCCGTGGATGGAGTCTGTGCCCTAGTACGACTTAACAAGCTTCAGGGATCTGATTCTTTGTCCATTCCTTCCGAATTGAAGGTTCGTTAAAACGTTCATCCCCCCCCCCCCAATTTTAATTTTTTAAAAACATTTTCCCAATTTATTCTAAATAATGACATATATCCAAAGCAGTATTCTCAGTATCAATGCACTTGTATTTTCTTCCCTTGCTAAGTAAACGTTAAAAAAGAATTGGGGAGATTCAAACTGACCCCCTCCCCCCTGTGCCACAACTTTCTGGTTGTACCCCTGCCTCACAATCAGTAAATTCTTTATCAAGGTGTTTATAAATATTCTATTGCAAAGTAACTGAAGGGAGGAAATAAATTATGTGTAGTGTACCCCAAGAAGGTATTGGAAGATGGAAAGATAAAATTTTATATCACTTGAAATGACATTCCTTGCAAGTTGAGATTCTACGCAAAACTAACATTATGTTTTAATGCTACTCATTGTTTTTGTTTCGAAAGTTATGAGAGTTATGTTTTGAGATTTTTTGAAAACAAGGCAATTGTGGAAGTACCTCTCTTGGCAAGAATCTGTGCTTAAACTGGCCTTGGCAAATCAGTGTGTTGGCTAGCCTGCAAACATTTCATATTGTTTCTTTTATCATGTAACAGACACTAAGACACTAGCTTTGAGGATAAAGACTAAAATAATCTTTAGATTTCAATCCTTTATGTTCGGTTTACAGAAGGTGTTTCCAAATTACTCTGACTTCTACCAAACTTTCTTTCCTAAACAGCTCAGGTCTTGAACAACTCAAACGTTTTAATGAAAATAAACATTTTAGTATAAATCTAGCTGAATTTAAGTAGTCAATGATGTTTTCTAAATTTTCTTACCGTACGTTTCCTTTAAAATTTAAATTAATGATGAATTTACTTTTCAGGCTTTGCTGGAGGATTCATCTGTTTTGAAAGTAGGTGTGGCTCCTTCAGATGATGCAAATTACTTGCTTAACGATTATGGCATTATGGTGCGTGGCTGCTTGGACTTGCGTCATGTGATGCAAAGAATTGGTGGAATGCCACATGGTGGCTTGAGTGGATTGGCTGAAAGTGTGTTAGAAGCAAAGATGGACAAGTCCTGGTCAATTCGTTGTAGCAATTGGGAGGTGGATGACCTCTCTGAAAGGCAGATATCATATGCAGCTAATGATGCTTGGTTTGCAGTGAAGATTCTTCAAGTCTTTGCCTTTGGCCGACTAAAATTATCAGACTGTTGTATTCTTGACTGGTTAAAATCGTATTGGAATCCATTTTCTGGCATTCCCCCCTTTGCTTGGGGATATGTTGATGTTAAATATAAGAAAAAGGCAATGACTCTTTCAGAAGATGTAAATGAAATTCAAATGGAATCGTCAATATCAACAATGGCAGTAGTGAAACAGAAACCCAGCAAAGCAACAAAAGCCCTTCCAAGAGCATTTTGCACTCGCCAAACCCCTTTATATCATAACTGTTTCATGCAGGCTCCAGATGGTGCTGTTCTATGTACATGTGATAAGAAGAAAGCAGTATGGTATGATGTTAAATATTTTATTTATTAGATTTTAAAGGCCTAATGTAGTAATAAAAACATACAATGTAAAAATGATCTAATAACTTTACTGAGTTTATTTAATCTGAATATTCCACTCTTGAACTTAAAACCAGTAGAGTTTGACTGTACATACAAAATGCCCCAATTTGGGTGGAGTATCCCAATGTTTATTGCTTATTCTCTCTGATTTTTCTTATTGCTTCTCCGTACTGGCCAATCATGAACTGTGACTCATCTATCATAGGAGGCATATGCTTCAATCGCTTCGTTGTTGTCCAATAATCCGTGTATGTACTATAAACATAACATCTTTGATTGTAACCTTTCTTCGCTTTGCAAGTCAGGAATTTATCAACAATTTCCAAAGCATTCATGCACGTAAGCACCTAAGATAATTTAATTGAACATTTTTTTAATTATCAATGCTCATTAGAGTCATATGTAATTGAAACTATTGGTTCTTATGATTTATATTTAAAACTACTTACAAGTGAAAGAAAATACCAACTGGTTCTTAGCTGAGATTAGAGTCTTAATATTAAATAGAAAATTTAATATTTTGTAATCATGCTTACATATGGTGTTTTAAAATTTCACCATTTCAATATTATTTTTACAAATAGCTGAATATCACTTTAAAACTATCCGTGCTTTCTATGTAAAGTTGTTACCGATGCTGTATTTTTCTCTTGTTTTTTGGGAGGTTATTGATATCTTGATCTCTCTTTCAAGTAGGACCTGAAATGAAATTAATGATTAGTGATTTGTATTCATATACATTAGTTAATATTTTACAAGATCATTTTTCCTACTCTAATTAATACCTCACGTATTTATTCTGGCATACTGTTAGCAATAGTATAGATGACAATAGCAGTAACTACAACTAAAACAACAGCCACTCTTGTGAGTGTCATCGGCACCAAAATATCAGAGAGGACACGTCCCCCTGGGCAGTGATACCCATGACCACGCTAGTCACACTCACTTCTATTCTTATGAGTCAGACCAAGGTTCCTATAGAAGCGATTAAAAGTAATTGTAACCACTCATGCAACCTATAAATAAAGCTTGTTGTTTTTGTTGTGGATTCTGTTTAAAATTAATACTCATTATATGAACTAATACATTTCGGTCTGAAAATAAGAGCTTTATATTTTTGTCACCTCACGAACTGATTAGTAAGCAATGATGTTGGTCCATTATATATGAAATGTAATTTTTGCAGGTATGTTTCAAAAAATTTAGCAGAGTTGATTTCAGAAAACCCTCTAACTGTTCGCCTCAAATTTGAACCTTCTGGGAGAGCAGTTGGCACAGTAGGCCAGTATTATGTACAGCCAAAAGCCAATTGTTGTGTGGTGTGTGGGAAAATAGACAATTGCATTAGAAAGAACGTTGTTCCTCATGAGTACAGGAAGCACTTTCCAAGTGAGTTGTTAAATCAGTTGTTCACATTAATAAAAAAATCAACGTAGTTTGTTGAAGTGTAATTGATATTTGCAAATCTAATATAGTGTGCTATTAGTCTTTATCTGCCTTCCAATTCATGAAGTTTGTTTTTTGATGTTTCTGAACAGTGACTTAATTATATTAATCGACTTCCTGCTCCAGTAATTTTAAAAGTTATCTCCATACAGTCTTAAAACACAGTAATATCCTTCTTTTTTCTGATGACGCTAAGATTTATTATCCGATAGTTCATACTGACGATGCCATGAAGTTACAACTTGATTTACTAGCTGTCGAAAATTGGTGCCTTCTGAACAACATCATTGCACCATAACTAGTGTTATCCCATTAATTTCTCCTGAAAGCAGGACACTGTTAGTTTTCTATATAGATTCAATGGAAGGATATTGGCTGCAGTTCACAACATCAGAGATCTTAGAGTTGTCTTGGTCAGTTAACTCAATTTCAACAACCACATTAACAGTATTGTTAACAACACTCTGCGACACCTGGGTTTTATCCTGTGAAATTCATCACAATTTCTTTCACTGTACACAATCAAACTTCTCTTTAACTTGATGGTTAGGCCCATTCTCTAGTATGCCTATCTGATTTGGTCTCCTTCACTGGAAAGGCTATAAATCATCTTGAGAAAGTCTAACACAGGTTGTTGCGCAACTTAGCGTTTCGCAATGGATGCCTTAACCCACAGTTTTGTCACAACTACACTGATTATTACTCGTTGTATTACATCTTCATGATAAAAGAACAATCTGTAACCATATCTTTCTATTTAAAATTTTGTCGGATGAAATTAATTGTAATAATTTTCTCCCTAATATCAGATTTTGTGTCCCTTGCATGTCAACATTAATTAATTAATTAACATAATCCATTATTATTTTCTGAACCTGTGAAAAGTGATTATCAAATGAATACCTTCTACCATATTGCCTGTGCTGCTAACTAGTATTGTAAACGAATTGATTTTTTCAACATTACTCACAAAAGCTATGTACATACCATCTGAGAATTGCTCTATCTGATCTGAGAATCAATCTGAGAATTTCTCTACCTGATTTGTATTAATTATTCCTAAATTTACTCTTTGTGACTTCATTAACAAATGTGTATCTTGTACTCCCACATTATAATTACATGTATTTAAGGGAATATCCCATAAACAAATAAATCAAAAAATTATGTATGTATTTCAGTCAGCATTTCTGACACATTTCTGCAGTTTATTGCTGGCAAGCCGCTAGGACAATAAACTTATATATTCATCACAAAGTACACGTTTTATCCTAAATATAAAGTACATACATATTGTATACAATGTTTTTTAAGAGGAACCAGTCTGCACATGAACAGTTGTATTGTGTAACCAGTGACAGATCCCAGAGAGGTGACGCGGTGACGCCGTGAGGACAATAAGTTGAAGGCTGTGTTGCCAACGTTTCGATCATCTTGTCTTGGTCTACCAGCCCTGAGGAAGACTACGACAAGATGGTCGAAACGTCGGCAACACAGCCTTCGGCACGATGTCACCCAGACAGCCCAGATCATGCACATGATTCTGGCCGTGGAAGCCTACGACTTCGATCCGAGAGAGTGGTGGTTAAAGGGAACATCTGCCCCAACCCCTTGAATCTGACAAGTGTATCAGACAGCTATTTCTAAAAAATATTTGTCAGATTTCAATTTAGTTGGCCTCTGTGAAACATTAGCAAGCACCTGCATGGTTGTATTGTGTTTTTCTTGGCAAACATCCACACATCCTTGATTCCAAGTGCACGCTTTTCAGGAAGCAGCCAGAGGTAAAGTTTGACAAAGTATGGTGTCTTCTATGATTGGTGGTCATAGAAACACAGTATTACGTTGCTTTATAAGAAAGGCAATTGCAATATCATATTAGCAAATTCCTGTCTGAAATATTTCACTCTGATGAATAAATACATTAAAACGTAAAGAAATGTATAGTAGTAAGCAAAATATGTAATTACACTAAAAATGATTGAAATTTATTCAGAATGTCATACATACTCTAATAACTGAAAGACTATTGAATGTAGTTTGTATGGTTTGTTTTTTTACTCTAAAATATGTATTTACATGAAAATCCATTCCCTGGTAATTAGGAAGCTGGATCTAGGTAAGGAAGCTTATGGAAGTGCTGTGAGGAGAATTAATAAGTAAATTAGGTACTGTGTTCTTCCACTGTATGTCATCACCCATTATTATTTTCACAGAAGTTATGAAAGACCATGTATCCCATGATGTTCTGCTGCTGTGTTTGCCTTGCCACCTGCGGTCTAACAGTTTTGATCTTTCATTGAAAAGGCAACTTGCAGAATTGTGCAGTGCTCCATTTTGCCAGGGAGGAAATGCAAAGGTAATGGAGTATATATAAATGAAGGGTGTGTGTACAAAATGCAAAGGTAAATGGAATGTAAATAAATGAAGATATTTCATTAGAGAAAATGAGTTATCAATAAAATAAATATCAAAAATACAAAATTCAAATGGAGAAACCAATTTTAATTTCATTTTCTAAAATGTTTGATTCCCCAAGAATGTTAATTTTATTTGAATGCATTAGTTCAACCAAGATGCTTAGCAAAGGATTTTAGTTACCATTCCTACATATTAACTCACTCAATACAAATTTTAGGATAGGTGAAATAGTTTTTTACGTAGTATGTATCCTAATCTTAAGACAATTGTAACCTTCCGTTACATATGCATTTGTTGCACGTCCGTTACATTGCATTACAAGTACATAAGGGTTTGTGACGTGCTCAGACTGAGAATCCTCAAACTTCATTGTCTCTCTTCTTCCAAATTTAATAGCGTATTTTTACAGGTCTTTTTGTGTATATCAAATAGACATTTTGCTGCAATAATATCACTCAATTGTTTGAATTATTTTTTTAAACATTAGAAATTAGAGAAAAACATTATGTTTATAACAATAATTTTGCTGTCCAATAGGTAACAATGAGCCTTGGTGAAAATTACATCTCATTATCTTGAATGTTTTGATTATAAAATATTTAAGGTGAACCCTGTATATTTATTGAACCAGAAACCTGCCAGTATATTGTTGTTGATATGCAAATAATTTGTGATTTTATACAATTTTTATAATACAAAAAATATTTGTCCACTTCTCTTATAGTTAATCGTTGATGAACTATTAGAGAAATGCATACATATTTTGTGTAAATAGTTAATTCTATGATTAAATAGTAACACAAAAGAGAAACGTGAGAGAAGAACTTGTAACATAAACACACTTTGCGGAATGATGCTCCACATCACTAAATATTCCACTATGGGCTCATCTGCAATGATTGAGAATACATTTTTTGACACCTATCGATGAGTCAACACGGCTAAGAAAGATAAGGAAGCTTCAACTTAATACTTCATGATAACTGATAAAGAGAGGCAAAAATAGAAGAGTGTGGAGTTGCAGTCTGTGCACATGTAACAGAGGATTCCTAATAGATTATTGCGTCACTAAATTTACCAACTATTTCACAATTTTGTAGATATAAAAGAACAAAACACTCTCTTAGTAAACAATTTAATACTCAGAGATATCAGAACTATTTTAAAATCTCACAAATAATGTATAGTTATGTGTTCCTTCTATGTGAAACCTAGAACCAACTAAATGGTTGAAAACTAACTGTTGGTTGCTGGTTTTAGTTTACTGTGAATCGAGAGAAAAGTGCTGTGAAGGCTGCGGCAAAGGCATTGCTCAGGAGCTGTGACATGATCCCAGAAGAAAGGCAACAGATGCTACGACTTGTTGTTAAGGAATACTATGGTGCCTCTGAGCTCACTGATGATGTCTTAGAAGAGGCTGCTTCCATGAATGCTCAGTATGTTTAAATTCACTGCAATTGTAGATACAGGTCAAGTAGTGAATATTGAGACCAGCTATTCTCAGTAATGCAAACCTCAAAAACATCAATCAATAAATTTTATTTTCAATAATAATTAATATTTTATTTTCTATTATTTATATTATATTAATATTATTATGTTTTATTTTATAATATAATTATAATCAATAATTTTTATTTTCAAGAAAAATAATAAAAAGGGGTGTAACACTACTAGGAAAGCTCCAGAAATAAACAAATATTTCATTGGGAATTATTTAGCATATAAGTCACAGGATGACAAGAAAATTCATGGAAATTGAAGGAAAAATAAAAAATTTTATGCATGTAAATTTAATGTGTAGTATTTGTTATAATAGGAAGGAGAGAAGAACTCATTTTGATTTCTTGCAATTTTCTCTTAAGTCATTCGTCCATCTGGTTTGTGGTTGCCTCACTCTTTGCTTATTTGCTCTAGGTTTACTGAACTACATTCTTTTTCACTATTAACTTACCACTTTTTGAAACCACCAATACATAGGTCTCGTGTATCTTAACTTTAGTTCAAAAGAAATCCAGATCTTTCTCATACACTGGGTGCATTTAGACGTGGTTATCATTCCCTAATCTAAGATAGTTTCCTAGGTAGATTTAATGATCAACAACTTAAGAGTATTTTGTATTCAATTGAAATTAGATGTGGATGGTAATAAAGATCTTGGTTTTTCGGAAATTAATTTTTAGTCCTACTTTTGCTAATGCTTGATGACATTGTTCAGACATATTCTTGAATTCTGTTTTATCATTTATGATCAAGACCTAATCACCAAATTGCATGTTGGTTAGGTAGGAGCCATCAGTGATATGTTCTTCTCCCCCTAACACCCTCAATTAGTCATAACTTCTCAGGTATCAAAAAGAGAAGCTTGGGAGATATTTTGTCACCATGTTGTACACAATTTTGATTTAATTTCTTCTGTCGACAAGACCTAGGGTTCCACGGTTTGACGTTTTCATATAGAACGATAATCGATTTCAAGAGCTTGTTGGAGTCTAACACACATTTGCAGTTAATGGAGACCAGGCAAAATAACATGTCGTACTGAATTGTATTTTCAATCGGCAAATACAATACTCAAGTGTTAAAGCCTTTTTGATACTCAGCTTACTTGACTAATTGATGGAAGCCAAACGTATAAGTTAAGCGATCCACTAAAATCATTATCAGTAATATATAAATGATCCACAGCTAACCCTTTAATGCGCAATGCAATCTTCAGAAGGCATGTGCCTTCCATCTCTTCAATGCAGGGAGCCAAACATAGACTTCGGGAATTTTCCTCTGAATGGTGGAGTGTCATGTGAAAACAGGAGGGTAACATTAGTAGTTCACTAAGCTGACTACCTGCTGTTCCACGTAGCCCCTTCCCTTCACCTGCTTTGGAATTCTTCTACACCTGATCTAAACCCTATGTCTAAGTGTTAATGTGATCCCCTCTTTCTGAAGAACTTCAGAAATCAAATAGTTGGAATCCATTGTTCCACATTTTTGTTCAGCTATAAGCATGCCTTGTATCAGAGGATCCTCCTATTTAGTACTTATTATTTGTAAATTATTAGTGCGTAATTAGAACATAATGTTGGGAAACATCAGCAACTCTTCCTTGGGGCAATTGAAAGTGAAATTAAAATTTGGGGAATGTAATTATAGTTCACCAAATTGTTTCTTTTTTTCACCTATTAACCTTCCTTCCCACACCTCTTGAAAGATTTCTCCAGCATGAGTTACTTACATCTTCCCTCACAAGCTTTGTCTTGAGCCTTAACTCTCATGCTTTCCCTCTCACTCCTTTCCTTTCACATTTACTCTTCTCTCACCTTTAAAACCCCTTCACACTTTCATTTCACTCCCCACTCTACTTTCTTCTCCCTTCCCAAAGTCTTTTTGCCTCCTTTTGTTTTCTTCTCCACTCTCCTTTTGTTTCACTCTCCACTCTCATTTTATCTCCCTTCACTCACTCCTTTCCTCTCCCTTCCCTCTTCTCTTTCCTCTCCTTCATTCCCTCTCCCATACCATCATCACTCTTCCTACTTCTGATTTTTCCTGCTCATCCTCTCTCTATAACCCTTACACCCTGTTTCCCATCCCCCTCTCACTCTTTCCCCAGTCATCGATTTGTGTTATAACTGGCTCTCAAGAGGTGTGGATGCGGGACATTGTATCGCAACAGCCTTGGGACTGTCTCTATCTATATAGCGATTTTTTTACAACCTTGGCCGTTTTCAGCATCTCAATTTCCATGCCTCTTTATTCCATATATCGTTTTTCTCCATTTCTCTTTTTTCCATGGCTTCAGTTATTGCCATGTTCCACGTTCTTCTCGGTCTTCCCCTGTATCTTCTTTGATTAGGTATCCACTCCCAAACTTTTTGTGGAAATCTATCCGATTTCAACCTTCTCATATGTCCTTATCATTTTAGTTGTTTCATTTCGATCGTCTCGTTCTAGGTTGTTTGCTCTTTCATTTTATTTCACATTTAATTTCTTATTTTGTCTAACAGAGAAAGTTTACAAAATCTATGCCAGAACAACATTTCTGTTGACTGAAGTTTGTCTTTCAAATTTTTTTGTTAGTGTCCAGACTTCTGCTCCATAGAGTGTGGTACTCTCTATGAAGGAGCTATATAGGTGTTTCTTTGTCTTCATTGAAATAATTGAGTTCCATAGCACTGGATTCAACTGTCTTGTGGCTATTTTTCTTCTTATATTTTTATTTTTCACATCCTGTTCGTCTCTACCATCTGCTGTTTTGTGACTCCCAAATACTTATACTGTGTATTACCTTTAATTATTCCTATACCAGTCTCTAAATCATGGGGCATACCTCCCACCACCATATATTCAGTCTTTTATACATTTATTTCCATTCCCCATTTTCCATACTCTTTCACACCCATGCTCCTGCACTTTCTTCTCCATTCTTTTAGGGCTTTATCAATGTATATTTTAAACAGGGTTGGAGATACAGCAGCCTTGCCATAATCGTTTATTTACTGGGAAGTTGTCTGATTGACATTTTCCCATTTTTACTTGACTTTTGTTATCTTTATAAAGTTGTTTGACTGCATTTATGTATGTTGTTGATATTCGTTTTTCTTCCATTGCCTTCCACACTTCTTTTACTGGTACATTATCATAAGCCTTTTTGAGATCAATAAAAATTATGTGAAGTTCTCTTCCTCGCTCAATTGTTTTTTCCATCAGTTGTTAAGAGACAGAAAATATAGGATCTTCTTGGTCTAAAGCCACTATGCTCTTCTGAATCTGATGTTTGTATTTCAATTCTGTTTTTTAGCACAAATCCATACAGTCTAACCAAATATGAAGTCACACTTCTTCCTCTATAATTATTACAATTTTTTTAAAGCCTTTTTTGTAAATTGAATTTATATAGGCTAATTTCTATATTTCAGGTATTTTACTTCCTTTTAAAATGCCATTGAATATTTCAGTAATTAATTCCCAACCTACAATAGGATAATGTTTAACCAACTCTATGGATATACCTCCAGGCCCAGGAGCTTTATTATTTTTCATGTTTCTTAACACTTTTTTTTACCTCTTCCAAAGTCACATCTCGTGTGATCGAATTTACGTGCAGTGCTTAATAATTTATTCCCTGAAATTTAGTTCTATTTTCTGTCAAAAGATTTTTGTAGTATTTTTGCTATTTTTCAATATCAATTGGGTCTATTAAATGCCATTCTTGGGTTGTATTGAATTTCATGGACATTTTCCATGCTTCTCTGGATTTGACCAATTATCACTATTACCTATTACCAATACACTTGTCTAACCTGTCACATTTTTGTTCCCAGAATACATTTTTTGCCTTCTTCACTTCTTTCTTGACCAACTATTTCATTCTGTTATATTCACTTCTGTCTTCTAAATCCTTTGTTGAAAGCAATCTCAAATATAACTTTTTCTTTCCTTCAACCAGATTCTTTATATCTTCTGTCCACCACAAGTCATTTTGTTTATATTCACATTTTCCCTTCTCTCCCAAAGCTTCTTTATCTGCTTCATGAGTACATTTTTCTAAAAATTGATATTTGTCTTCAGTATTTCCTATTGGGATATACTTTAATTTTTCTCCCATGCACAATTTGTACAAAAATGCAAAATCATCTTGAAGGCTTTCAATATTGTATCTCGGCCACATCTGACTATTTTTCCACCTTTTGTATTTGGTTTTGTGTTTCTGTAACTTTTGAAGTAAGGTTTATACTCAAGGTAAGCTTTTCCTTTTAGTAATTAGTGGGTAAGGTTTATACTCAAGGTAAGTAGTGATCTGATCTACAGGAAGCACCTGTTTGAACCCGAACATCTCTCCACTTTATTGATGTCTGTTGTTTAGTAATTATGTAGTAAATTATTGATTACAGTTTTCTAGTGGGCTGGGTCCACGTGGATTTATGTATTTCTTTATGTGGAAAATAGCCATCCAATATTTTAAGATCATATAGTTCACATGTCTCTATAAGTCTTTCTCCATTGTCATTTAATACATTTTCACCATATAGCCCCACAACATTATGCACCATTCGTTTTCCAACTCTTCCATTAAAATGACCTAAAAGCACTACTTCTTTGCCATTTCCAATAAAATCCAGAAGCATAGTCAGTGTCAGTAAAACCATAAGTAAACCATAGTCAGTAAAAACATATCTTTTTCTGCAATACTTCCTTTGTCTGTTCGAGCATAAATTCCTATAATAAAAACATTGCGTCTTCTTAGTACAAGATCGAGACATGCTCATCAATTGCTTCCCAGCTATGAATATCATTCTCCAATCTTTTGTGTACAGCTATGGACACTCCTGCTCTTGCTCACTTTTCTTTTCCCACTCCACTAAAAAAGTGAACATAATTTCCTTTCCTTTCATTTCCATTTCCCTTCTTTTTTGTTTCACTCAACACTATTATATCTATGTTAAACTCCTCTATTGCGTTAAAAACTTCATTTACTTTAGTGCTTAAACCTTGAACATTCCAGCATCCAAAATTCATAGACCATTTTCCTTGCTTTTGTCAATGTCGTTAGTTAATCCAAGGCTCATTTCCATTGAGAGTTTGAGCGGTTTTTTATATTATCCGAGTATGTGGGTACTGGCCCCCATGCCTCAACCCCCTTTCAGGATGACCGGATAATTTTTTTGGGGGGTTTCTTCGCTTAGATTGAGTGCCTTCCAAGACTCCACAGTTCAATCTACCCCTATTTGAAGCACTTCTACTTCTGAACAGGAAAAAAGAAATGGTAAGGATTCACCTAAGGTTAGAAAACGGAAGCGTCCGAGCTACTCAATCCACCCATTGGCTCCTGGGGTACATGAAGCTAAGAAGGATATCTTACAGTTACGAACAGCAGTCAGCCACTCCTTTCTAGGTAGGAGAAACCAGGCTAATTGCTTCATTCCCCACCCAACGGTAAAAGTGTGCAGGGCGATGGGGTCGCTACATCCCTAAGCCAGTCTCCCAACTGTCCCCATAACTTCGTTGCTAGGTGTGTACTAGGCTTTGCACTCTTTCCCATACTCTCACATTCTTTCTGCATCCCTCCGCACCTTTTTCCCTGTCCTCTTAGCATCCCGTTTCCTGATCTTTCTTCCTTCTTTCAAGCAACTGTCTCTTCCTTTTTTGATCTCAGTCCCTTTCTTCTCATTCTCTTTATCATTTTCTTCCTCCTAGTTTCCATGCTGTCAATGAGAAACCTTGCTTTGTAAATGCATTAATTTTTTTCTTTACAGCACACCTAATGAAGATTACGACCCCCATGGGATGAAAATTGTGCAGTTCTTCAGTATTGAGGACAATGGAGGATTAGTAAAGCTTGAACAGATGTGGCGAGAACATTTCTTAAGCACAATGAATCCAAAGTATATGCCAGACCTTTGGTCTGTGACTCACACTCAAGATCGACTTGCAATACGTGCTTCTGAGAATAGGGTCTTAGCTGATGAACTGTGTGTTGCAGGAATGAAAGATTGTGTGTCTTTGTTGGAAATTGCTCAAAATGAAAGAGAGTGTAAAAAACATTTATAGTCTTTGAATGATTTGTTAAATATACTAGAGTTCAAATGTCAAAGAATTTGGAGTAATTTTCGAAACTAATATTGTCTCACAATTCAAAAGTTGATTTGGGAATAAATTAGTCTTGGACACTCTTGGCAAAAAGAATTGGTGTATGTAAAAAATAATTTCACCATATGTTGATAAAAAAATATTTCACCATCCATGGAACCATTTCCAGGGTTGCCAATATGGCTGGGAAATCCTATTCCTCAAATACATAACAATTACCCAAATTGTCAGTCTTGAAAAGGCTCTATCAGGGATTGAATATATTTAAGGAAGTAAAATGTTTTATTACATAAGACCATTGAGCTTTTTAAAATTTTTAAGAGGCCGCAGTCTCCTAGCTTCCTCAAGTGCACCGCTATGATTAGGGGCTCTCTTTGAAGTAATCAAGGTTAGTGTACTGGTCCATGCACAGTGGCTGTTGCCAGCCCACACCGCCACTCCCTCTCCTACTTTTTGTCTAGCTGCACGACGAATGCTGGAGTAGTACCCCAACAAAGAGGCCATGCACCGCTCACAATGTTTCCCTCCCTTTCCTTGTTCTATCCGTACCCCTTATTTACACACACACTAAAATGTCTGGAGACCGGTCAGGAGCTTAGATTTTGTCCGGGTTGGGGCAGTGCCCTGCTGGTGAGAGATACCTGGTTCGGGTAAACCCCACTAGCCGACGGTTGGTCGGTGCTGGATTTCGCCGTCCAGCAGGGGGAAATCATCACCATCTCCCAAGGAAAAAAAATGCACAGGACTAATGACAATAGCAGTAAAAAAAGCCTGCAATCATTAACCCTCACTGAATCTGGCTGCTCGATGAAATTATGGAGGTATCACACTCACAAAGAGCAGTCTCATCTTTAATGTAGTAATGAAAAAAGGGGTTGCAAACATTATGTGTAGTGTGGACTTAAATCTATCCTTAGTCTTGGCATTGTGGTTGGCCTCTTTTGCTGACAAGGGTTCCTGTCATGAAGCCGATGGGCTGTTTCCTAAGGCCACAGCAAAGCTTTGACCTCCCTCTGTTCACCCGGCTGCTGTCCAGCTGCTTGAGATGGGTTCACCAGTGGTACTTTGTTGGACAGTGGTTGTTATCATATTTTCTAAATTACCATATGTATTCAAGAAATGAGGTATTATTGGTTGAAGAAAAAATGTATTCATAAATATTCAAGTTCTATTTGTTTCTTACCTGTCATTTGTTAGGTCAATTATCATAAAGAAGTTTTATGTTTATAAATTAAATTTATTTTCTAATGTCTGTGAGAATGCTGTAGCAAATCAACCCACTGCATTACAATATTGAGGTAGTTATTTTTATGATGTACCCAGGGCTGTAACTAAAGACTAAGGGGTCCAAGCACATTGCAGGCTATACTTGCATTTATTATATATGCACTTTTGCTAGTAATTTTGACATTTTCTTAACAATTTAAATAGTTTTATACATTTGAATCAATTGGAAAATATTTCAATAAATGTCTCTTTGCTGTTTTATTATGTTATTTTTCATTTTTCTTTACTCTCAGGAGGGAAAATAGATATTAAATTAACTTTCTGCAGTTTAATATTTCAAAAAAAAAAAAAATCCTATATGAAAAAATGTATACCATTTGTACTTTCTGGCTACCTACTTATGGAATATTGAGAAAAAACAGCGACTTTTTCGCCAGAAGAACTATTATTGCCAGACCTTAGTAACGAAAATGTGGATAAATCTTTTTCCTGAATTTAGTAATTTTTTTTCCTCTTAACATATTATGTAGTCAGAATCCATGTTTTGTGACAGCAAAATGTGTGTCTATGGTTTGCCCTAGCGCCTAAACCATTCAGATGCTTTTGTCCCTAATTGATATTCCTGAAAGTTCAGTCCGGAGAAACCTGAAATCCTGTGAGTTTGAAACGGATATTTTGATTTTTCAGGGTACTTTACATGACACGTCAACATTTTCAAAATATTCTCAAAACTTGTTCTTTAATTTTTTCTCTCTGTTAAACCAAAACACGCTTCAAGAAATGACTTAGGTCGCATTTTGTTTTAAATTTTTGAAAATTGAAAAATTCAAATTTTTTTGGCAACATTCTTCAATGTTATTAATGAAGATAGAAATTTTCTCCTCAATGAAATCTGTTCATCAAAAAGAGATTTAAAAAGAAAATTATCTTTAGTTTTTTGAAAATATTGGTAAATTTGGGTTAAACATGGACAATTTTGAAACAAGTGGTGTCACAACAGTACATACTTTCTCTCCTGTCAAGGGTTGCGAAAAGTTTTTGTACCGGTACCACAAATTCTGTCCATTTTGACTCTTTTCAGTCATCAATTGTAATAGTCATTTATGTTATAAGAATGGAAAATGTTACATTATGAGTTAGATGTTTCCAGCTGAGTCGAATTACGAACGTGTAATGTAACATTTCCACCCATTTGTCATAACATGTTATATTTCATACTATGTTGCATTTCCTTTTATTTTAATTTTATATTGCAATATTTCACAATCTATGAGTGCAAATAAAGAATAGATCATGGTGCCAGAGCCCTCTAGAATCTTGATATCTGTAAAACAATTAAGGATCTTGTTTCCAAAAGGTGCCAAATCCATTTTTTTTTTTTTTTTTTAATTTATGACTACTGACACCTCAGCTATTATTAGAAAAGTTAAATTCAACCAAAAAGGGAGCAACGTACTGTTGCCAGCCCAGCTTTGTCAAAATTGTGCATTCTTTTGGCAAATAATATCAATACTGTAATTGAAATTATGCAATTGACATAACAATAATTACGCACTTTCTGGCTGCTCACTCCTGAGAGGCTCATGCCTCTTGTTATAAGTTAATAACTCCAATAGTGTTTCATTTTTTTTTATTCAATATGCTGTAAATTATTCTAAGTATCAGATGATATTAAATGATATATATCATACCTCACAGGACATTCTGAGGAATCATTTATAAAACCTTCAGCAAAATTCATCACAAATGGAAGAACTGGCTCTCGGTCTAGGAGTTACACCACCAGCTGAACTTAATAAAACAGCTGCATCTTATGAACACCAACATCTCGATGTTCTACAACAATGACCATAATATACATGACATCATTGACCATAAAATACTTTTAAAAAAACTAGAAATGCAAGGGATTCGAGGCATTGCAGGCCAATGGATCAAATCATATTTATCAAACCGTAGACAAGTAGTTGCCC